GACCTAAAGACCATGAGTTTAAAACTTGAACCTATCTACCAAGCTGACAAGGCAGATAATATTCAGAAGCGGTTGTAATTAGAAGATAATGACCATAATGATTTGGATGATGTGTATGCAAAGTGCATGATCTTTTTAAGCTTAGAAACTGCTATGTATCAGGAAATATGCTTTTAGAATGTTAATTCAAAGTGAAATCTTTAACAGTTTACTGAAGAATGCTGATTTTAAGGAACAAGGATAAACTGCATAATTATCAAACTTAAAAAGAAAAATAAGCAACTTACCATATTTGTTAAGTAAAGGGAGCCATAATATAATGAGATAAGAAATCTCATCATGAATCCAAATTAGAATTTCAATCCTGAACTCTATCTATTCTATATCTAATCTATAACTCCATCCATTTTGCTAAATGATTACGCTAAATGTTAAAAGACTGTTGCAAACTCCTATAACAGTAATATATATATATATATATATATCTCAAAAAACAAAAAAGGAATGGTGGGGAAAAATTGTGATTGAAAACCCCTTCCACCTGAAGTCTGTGGATAGTTATTACAATTTTAAACAAAACACCTGCACACCAGTCAAGCCATTAGACTTGCTTTTCCCACAGGAATCACAAATTTGCAGTGATGTCACTACCACAAAGGATTCTGTTCATGTAAAGTGTTGGTAGTGGGACAGGACCTCTGATCTTCACACAGATTTCTGTTCAACATTGTATTAACATATATAGTGTAAAGGGCTAACAAAGCTATGGAACACTTAATAATATAACATAGACACTGGAAATGATGTGAACTACATATTTTGGTAGACTTGTAATGGGCTGCATTAAGCCGGGGCCGGGTTGACAGCCCTAATGATTATTATAATAAATCCTCCCCTCGGACTGTGCCAGCCTGTCAGTCCAAAGGGAGGAAGGAGGGAGGAGCTGGGGGCTGGTGTGGCTGCCAGCGGCCGCAGGGAGACCTGTCAGTCTCCCTGCACAGTCTGAAATCATTCCGGCCGCATGCCCTGCCCCCAAACGGAAGCTCCACCTCCCCGAGCTCCGCCCCCAAGCACGGTAAGCTGGAAAGCTGCCTAACGGACCAAGAGGACACAGAAAGGTATTTACTTTTTTACAGCCCCCCTACCCACATACAGCCCCCCTACCCACTATAAACCCCCCTGCTCACCATATTAGACATACATACGTACATACATACATACCAATAATATGTAAGGCATGTATGTATATGTATGCATGTCTTGCCACCACAGATGATTGAGTAATATACACACATAATATATATATATAATGTGTTTATATATTGCTCAATTACCTCGGGTGGAAACACATAGCCATACGTATTACATGTGACAATACATGACGTAGTGACTTATAGGGCTTGCATACATTTTTTTATCCAGGGCTGCTTTCTATCCTCAGTCTGGCCCTGAGTAAATATATATAGTAAGTCAAAGCTTTTGTACTTCTACTTCAATACAAATTGTACCTGGTGCTCAGTAACACATAATTATAGTTTCACATAAATACCAGCATTCCAAGGATTTCCAAGGATTTTTCAGCTATATTGCTCAGATTTCATAAAGGTCAGTCAATGTTTCCGTTCAATACAGGAACTTTCATCAGGAAAGTCGTGAGCAATAAAGCTGAAACATACTTAGAAATCCTTGGAGTGCTGTTATTTATGTGAAAAAAAATAACAAAACAAAACAAAAAGCTGATGAAAGTTTGGGTGACAAACTGAAACATGGATCTTTTAAATCTGGAAAATAAAAGTTACTTTTTATTTTTACACCTGAGTGTGCTATCTCTGCGCATTTTGAGATATATATATATATATATATATATATATATATATATATGTAGCCCTTAATGCTATGTACTTGTATCCCTAAGCTTATATACACTATAAGTATTCCTTTGTCACAATTCTGCTAGTAGGAAAATGTAAAATGTAAAACTATAATGATTTTTCATTCTTATGAATACTGAGCCAGTACAGCATCCTTCTAATGATGATCTACATTTTAGAAGTATTAAATTGATTTTATCATATTATACGCTCACCTCTCTCTCTCCAAATAAATACAGTTGAAGGGGTGGTGTTATGGTGGTGTTATGGGCAAATGCAAATATTACAAGTTTTAGAATTAAATATTGTATTCCTCAAACTATGTACTTTGTCTTTAAGAGATATTGCAAACTGACAAGGTGTTAGAAATGGAACATATTGTTTTTCATACATGTTTCTTTAACCCCTTAAGGACCAAACTTCTGGAATAAAAGGGAATCATGACATGTCACACATGTCATGTGTCCTTAAGGGGTTAAGCAATAACTTCTTACTTACCTTCAGTGCATAGTATGTTCACACCATTTTGTCCCAGATTAAATACAATAACAATAATGCATAAACAAGCTTCAAGGCTATGCTATGACTCTTTCAGTACACAATATACTGTGGTAATCCTAAGTAGATAAAGATGTTCAGACTTTAAGATGCCATCTTGAACTAAGTCAGGAAATTTCCATGACATGAACACCCTTTAGTTTTGTCCTTGTATTTTTGCCAAGTTAATGGAAATTCTAAAATGAATAAAAGTAAAAGAAGTGTTACTTTTTCATATATGAACTACGGTGACCCTAAAATAAAGACACCTAAGGTATAAATAGGTGTACTTTTAAATGTTAAGGAACAGAGGAGAGGCTTGGAGACAGACGCTGCTCCATCTTATTACAGAGAGGCTGACATGTAATTGGCTGACATTAGCAAGTATACCCCCATAGAAAATATGCATGCATTTAATAATTTTTTCTTCTCTTTTCTGCAGCCTTTGCAAGCTGCCCCTTTCTAACCCAGTCCAGCCTTTCTGTGGCTTTCCAATCACAGACTTCCCAATGCAGCTCAGTGAGAAGTCTTTGCAAGGCAGGTGCTCTCACCAATTGCATGACTCTTGAGGTTAGTTCCACTGAGCTAAACTATCAGGAAGTAACAGAACCGTTTGTCGGATTGAAAGTCAAGGGGTGTAATAAGGTTAATGTATAAAAGTGGCAATTAAATAAAAATGTGAATAAAGCGAAAAAATACACACTCTTCAAATATATAGCACTTTAGCAAACCATAGAGCTTTATGGGTTTGGTGTGTCTCTTTAAAGCATACAGAGTCATTTATTATTTACTTTAACACATTGGTCCCATTGCTAGAGCACAGGATGGGAGTCCCATTTTCAGTCAGCTGTACCTGATAAGTGAATACTAACAGGTGATGTATTGAAGTGTTTTCTGTTTCAATAACCAGTGTTTGGGCAATGGAGGCTGCAAACTCTTGACATGCGCATCATCGTCCTTTTGGCCTATTCCTGTTATAACCAATTAGAGACCTTCAAGAATTACAGACACATGAATTTTGGCAAAATATTCCACGGCTTTATTAAATATATAAATAATAAAATATAAATTTAAAAGGTCATTGTCAACAACGATTAGGAAGACATCCCCCCAATTAACATAACTTTACACCAAGACAATGACCTAAACCATTTTACAGAATACATCCATATAACCATATAACATAGTATAAATAACATAAACATTAACATAGCCACCCAGGGCATCCATTTCCAATTGTAGGGGCATACCAAGACACCCCTACGCCATTATCACAGCCACCAAGGGCATCCATTTCCAGTGTAGGGGCATACCGAGACACCCCTACACCCCCAGGTTCGGAGCTACCGACGAGCTCGAACCTACCACCAAATCCAAAGGTAAGTATTCCTCCTGACCTATCCCACTTACCAAAAACCGACCTACCCCCCAATTAACCTAATCCTTCCCCCGCCGCCGTGACAAAACGGAGGAGCCATACCGCTTGGCCATCAACAAACCAAAATTAGGGAGGGTGGGCGGGACAGCTACCAACAGGTAAGGGATTTAAAATTAAAATGGACACTGAATTAAAATGGCCGATTTTTATATGGGAAACTTAGGCCACTCCCCTAACTGACCTCCACCAATCAAACCACACCTCATTCATAGGCCTGCCTCCTAGCTCTGTCAAGGCCCATTCCACCTAGCTTGCTGTTCCATAGGCTTCAAACTCACAATCTCTGATTAGGTGGCCCCTCCTCATTCTGTACCTATGTTCCCCTTGGGGAGATGTTATTATTACCTTAGTGGTAAATAGTTTACCATCCTTGGACAGATAACAGCTGAACTGACTCCGTCATGAATAAAACCTACATCACCAGAGCTAAAACAAGTACTCTTTGTACAAATAATACAAGATCTGTGGTGTATTCATGTAAATTGTGTAAAAGGGCCCTTAAACCCTTCAAGTCTAGAGTTATGCAAATGCCCTTTTATCTTAGCAGTTTTAAAGGAGTTAAATAGTTAAAGGGACACTCCAGGCACCCAGACCACTTCTGCCCATTGGAGTGGTCTGCGTGCCAACTCCGACTACCCTTAACCCTGCAACTGTAAATATTGCAGTTTTCATAAACTGCAATATTTACCTTGCAGGACTTCCGGGTTTATAGCACACATTTCATGTGCTATAGTGTTGCTGGACGTTCTCACGCTATGTGAGGACCTCCAGCGTCGCTAAAATCTCCATAGGAAAGCATTGAGAGCATTTTTCAATGCTTTCCTATGGGTCTAATGCGCGGTCTCTCCCCGACGTCGGCGCACATACGCAATAGGTCTCCCACGCCGCATGACGTCGGCAGGGAGCCTGGGCGGACCCAGAACCAGCGCCGAGGGACATTGGTGCTGGATACAGGTAAGTCACTGAATGGGTTTAAACCCCATTCAGCAACTTGGGGTGGGAGGGAAAGGGGAGCAGTGCCAGGAAAACTGTTTGTTTTCCTGGCACTGGAGCGTCCCTTTAATAAAAAAAATATAGGTTAGAAAATATGTGCTTGCATTGTTTCTCATTGCATATTTGATTTCAAAGCAGTTTTTCATATTACTAAATAGCACTAACAAGAAAAATGGAATGATAATTAATACAGACAGCTACTTGATTGGATCATTTATACACTGTAAGCCCTCGGTTGCTGTGTGACATGGACCATTCCAGCCAGCAGAATGGGATAGAGGCACTAACATAATAGTCTTTAACCTCATCTGACACTAAGTAAGTACTTTTTATCAAGTAATAATGCCAAATTGCAAATGTCAAGTCAATAGACGTTACATTTCTGAATATATATCTGATACACTGTATAAGCAAGCAGGATATTAAATGGAGTAAAATGTAACCGGGTCTTCTCCGCTCATCTAAAATCAGCCTATTAGACTTAAATTCCCAGCACAATGCAATATCAGTGTATTTATGACCTTATAAGCGCTGAATTATTAGAGCTAGTAAATGCACTGCAGATATTATTGCTCATATCAATCTTAGCATGGCACATAAGCAATAATTGGTAGAATTTGGTGGAGTCCTTCAAGCTGTATAACATCTCTGCTCGGATGTGACACCATTATCTGTTTGTTTCAAGAGAGCAGCTGTTCCATCACCATCAAATTATCATTATAAACACTAAACAGTTAGGATTTGAAGGCAGCAGAGGCTGTGGATTTGACTCCAATGCACAGATAATTTCCATGATAGATGTTGCAATTTTACAGAGATGATGCTCTGTACAAGCTTAAAAAATGCATGAAATAGTTGTGATATATCAGGAACTACAGGGGAAGGCACATGCGAGGTGCTGATGTAAAAATATTTTCATTGGTTTGATACTACAAGGAAATTGTATAAACAAGGCAGTTGCAATTGCCGTATTGTGGCAAATGAAATGAATACATAAAAAAAATATATATATATAAGGTTGCGTAAATACGTGGAAGATAAAATTCACTGTGAAGAAAATGGGTCTAAATGAATAAATGAATGCAAAAAAAATAATCCAGGTGTTCAAACACTCCACTGTATGTATCTTTTTATTTGTGTCTCTGATTTTCTGTATGATTAGTGTGTCCTTAGGGATCTATTCAATAGACTGCTGATATCGGAGCTAGCTTGCAGGCATTCTTTATGAGATAAAACAAAAACCCTCACAGTTAATTTGATTACTCATTAACTGAGGATATATATATGTATATATATATATATTTTATTTGGTTTTTTTTTGTACATTTTCATGTCATATACATATTTCAATGGGCAGACCATGAAATTCTGTAATGCACAGTGGGTGGCCTAATCTGTGCATTACTGCCATGAATACACAGTTTGAGTGTGAAAGCCTTCAATATAATGGTAGAACAGGATATACATGTCCTGGCCTGCCCATGATAAATGGTTTAATTCTGGGGCCAGTAATGATATGGAAAGAGAGACAGCACAATTATATCTCCCAAGTACCTATCCTGGGATATAATTATCCAGAGAGAAACTGTATTAATGTCAATATGTGTAAATAGTAGCTGCTGCTCGGTAGTGTAACTCCCATCAGTCAGAGCAGTGTCTGAACTAATGTAGGGAGAGCCCTGGTGCAGTGGTGTGTTTGTAAGTAGTTTAAGCTTTTAAATGCAGGCGTTCTTTTGTTTGTAGTGTTTGCATAGAATATTAGCTTTTTAATATGGGGGATGTTTGTATGTAATGTTTGCATTTGAGTGCATTGGTGTGTTTGGATGTTGTGTTGGCTTTTAAACCAACACATACACACATATAGATAGACACCAACATATACACACATGCACCCTGACACACACAAACATTGATACATGCCCATACCAAGACACAGATACACACACTGACATTATACACACACTCTGACACAGACGCACATACACAGATGTGTGCGCAGACACAGAAGCAAACTGACATACATATATATATATATATATATATATATATATATACGCACACCCTGACACACACACACACACACACACTCACAAACACCCTGACACACTCATACAGACACAAACTCACACTCACACACATTCAAACTCATACACACACTCACACACATACAAGCAATTTTTTTTTATATATATATCTCCAGCCACCCTTCTTTCAGCTTACCTTATGTGCCAGGACGGTGGCTTGGAGTCCTGCTGCTGTGGGAGTGAGAAGTCTGGAGCTCTTCATGTTCCTCTTCCCTCACATTGCAGATCCCTCCCGCGCATCCTCCCTGCAGGATGCTGGGAGGAAGTGACAGGCTGTCATTTCCTCCCAGCCGGCCGACATTACATGGGCCCCGTTATGGTCTTAATGGATCACGGCACCCGACCAGGCCCCCGTTCAGCAGTAATGTTTCCCCGGTGCTATAATTATACATTCCACGGCACCCTGTGTGAATGTCGCCACGCCCTTGGGAACCGCTGGTATAGAGGCTGAAAAGATCAGACAGAGGAGAGAATTTTTTTTACAAAAACCAAGGTAAGACAGAAAAGAGTTAATATAGAAAAATGTGTGCAATTGTCATGTCAGTCAAGCTTTGGTTGGGGTTTTTAGAATAAAAAAATCAAATCCCTCCCAAATGACTTATCTGCTTTAACCATTAATCTATCAAACGGCAAATTAAACCGTAAGCTCTAGCAGACAAAGAGTAAAGTCAGCTTCTATTTTTTTTATATACAAAAAGTTTAAAGTCTGGGTAGTCAGTTAGTCTATTATCATTTTAGTCTAGTAATCAATAGCAATTTTTAGGGAAAACATTAGAAAGTTCTGCATAAATAGGAGGTGATTGTGGAAGTGAATCTCATTGCAAAAAAGATGAGAAATAATATGCAATGTAAAGAAAATAAGAAAAATCAAATGAAAGCCATCTTTAACACAAAGTTACATTTCTATGATGTCTGCAGAGCTTTTATGTAAAAATGAACACTACAAATCTGTATTTGTTCTCTATCTATCTATCTATTGTTATCTTAACTTCTCATATTCCAGGGTTAGCACTTCAGATGTTTTGGACTACATCTACCATGATGCTCTTACAGCCATAATGCTGGCAAAGCATCATGGTAGACATTGTCCACGACACCTGGAGTGAATAAGATTGCCTAATTCTGTACCTAGCCCATTAATTGAGGCATGGCACTGAGAGATCCATGGATCATTCACTCATTAACTCATTCACTATATTAATAATGATATTAATTAGTATATCTAGTCTAGTTTGATGTAGTTATTATGTCCCCTGAACAATTATGTACCACGCTATTTTTATCTTGCCATCTACACATCACAATTAATACTTTGGGGTATAGGAAATCTTAAATTCAAAAGGCAAGTGTATGCTTTTTTAAAAATCAGCGTATAATACTTGTCTTGAAAACAAACATTTCTTGGTGTTTTACACTTTTTATAAAAGTAATTCTCACAAAGTGTTTTTCTATATTTATGGGCCACATTTTTCAAAAGCTGGGCTTTGGTTCTACATTTGCCTGTGACCCTCCACAATCTATTCCATTTACAGATCATAGCCAGAAACATGTTAGGCTGCCCTAAACTTGTAAATTAAAGCTTCAAACTGTAATGTCAAGATAACAAAAAAAAAATTTTTTTATCTTGTTAAAAAAAAAATAGCAGTTGAATTCACAACCATTTTATGAATTCTAAAAGACAATGAGAAATTAACAGAGCTGGGATATCACAAGTGAAACCTCCTAATTCGGAAGATGTATCACCTATCAAGGATGCCTTAATGGTACAAAATGGCATAGGGCATATGTAGTCTTCAGATTGCCGAGATGGATTTTCGGACTGTTACAAACAGAAGGTCATAAGTAGATTTCGCGTATACGCTGAAAAAAAGGAATGTTCCATTACTCATATGTAACATTTACAAACGAACGTCTCTCTCAGGCGCAGAAAAAGTTCTTTGTTTTAATTTGCCACATCCTTGAAGGTGAATTTAATACCATTCATATATTCTCATTTACAAATTTGTCAGTAATAAGAGGGCTGGCACATGGGAGAAAAAAAAACTTACACGCTTGTCTTGCTGAAAAACTGCTAGCTCAGACATCCCTCGGTTCTGTGCGTCATGCATGAAATTGCAAATAGAATTTAATTTGCCCTTGTATCCTGTAGGATCAGCTTCAAATGATTAATGCAGGAAGGAATATTGTCAAGAATTTATTCATTACAATCTCACAGGACTCAGGTTCAAAATCTTCATGTACAAACATAGCAGTATATCACATGTAAGCACCTTGCGATGGCAAACAATCTGACTTTTCCTAGGTGATTCCAAAGAGCTAGAGTAAATGGATTTGACTGTGAATATTCCTTCATAATCTCCGGTGAAATAAGATTATTAAAATGACAGATACAATGGAATCTATACATTAATCTCCAGGCTGGCATTGCATTTATGCCACAACAGACATCTGCAATATTTTCGTGAAATATTACAGAGACTGCTTTCTCCTTTTGCTTGGTTGTCACCATCAAGAGACATTTTTAAAATAGTTACAAGTTGGTCGAAGATATTAGAATAAACCTAAAAGGCTCATGTTTGTTTAGCGGAATGTAAGATTTATATTTAATGTTTGACCATGTAGCAAGCTATTCAAAAGCCTAAAAATCCTAATTAAATTGTATATGGTTTTTTTTTTTTTAAATCTGTCACATTTATTTTATAAAATAATTTTGAATATTGTCTTTCACAGCAACTTTTCTTAACTGATCATAATAAGAGACTTACAGGGTTAATTACTAAAGTGAGAATTAAAAGTTAATTTCCAATTTAATAACACATTCTCTCATTCAGCTCTACTTCCAGTTTAACTCCTCTACCTTAAATTTGAAAGTTACTTGAATTGTCACTTTAGTGAATACTGCTGATAGTGTCATAATTTGCAAATAATGACCTTCACATGCTGTTTGGTTTTCACCATTAAAGGGATGCTGTAGTCACCAAAACAACATTAGCCTAATGAAACAGGTTTGATGTATAGACCATACCTGAAGTCTCAATTCTCTGCCATTTAGTAGTTAAACCACTTTTGTTTATGTTTAAACAGCCCTACCCACACCTCCATGACGGTGACTGACACATCCTGCATGAAAAAAATGGTTTCATTTTCGATCTGATGGTTTTATCTCCTGCCCTGTAAATTAAAATGTAATATATTCAGGACTCCTGCACGGTGTAGCAAGCTATTAACAGTGGAGGAGATAAGAAATTAAAAATTAAACACTTTGCAATAAAGGAAGTGTAAACATTAGATGACTCTTTACAGGAAGTGTTTAGGAAGCCTGTGCAAGACACATGCAGGGATGTATGACTAGGACTGTGTAAACTGTGTAAAAGTTATTTAACACCTAAATTGTATAGAACTGTGCAGTAAGATTGCAGGGACATAGTCCATACACAAAAAATGCTTCATTAAGC